TGCATTGTCTCTTGGAGTTCTTTGGGCTGAACCTGGCAATTAAATAATGACTATAGGACAAGAGCCAGAATAAATATTTACTTGTAGGTTACAAGTAAATGGTAGTAGATACCCTACCTCCATATTACCCTTGGAGGTAGGGTATCTTGAATGTAAGATACCCCACCTCCAAAGAATGATTAAAGATACACACAAAAAAAGTATAAACACATACAAAAAACTTGTACAATGCTCAGCTTTCCTACTTGTTAATCAGAGTTGTCAACTCCTACTGAAAACCAAGCCAAGAATATTCCTTTCTTCAGAAAAATGTACTCACTGTGCACATCTGTATACATGAGCATATATGCATTTTTATACTAGAACCGGCCCGAGGCCATATTCCAAAAGAAGACAACTCAGGTTTAAAATTTAATCAGCTTTAGTACAAATCGCTATTGGTCAAAATTACTTGCCTGTAGAATTAAATATCCCATTAACAAAGTTAACTTACTCCTATATGTATACTTAGACACACAAATTGTCTTCTCACTGGAGTAAATTATGCATATAGTGTGACACAGAGAAAAGCCTCAGATAGCATAAACCTGTGCATTCTTACTCTGTAATAACTCTAAGTTATTACAGAGTACTTAGGACTTATTTCAGTTATCTTTTACTATGAAATACAGGTAGTCCTTGGCTTACGGTAACAATTCTGACCGGAATTGCCATTGCTAAGCAATGTGGTTGTAAAGTGTAATGTCATGTGACTGCATCGCTTAGCAATGGCAATTCTGGCAGTCCCAGCTGCTGTTGTTAAGTGAGGACCGTGTGGGTCATTAAGTAAGGACCTCATGTGACCACTAGTTCTGAGTTCCTGCCAGCTTCCCTATTGACTTTGCTTGTGGGAAGCTGGCAGGGAATGTTGGAAATTGCAATAACTTGACTGCAGGGATGCTGCAACAGCCAGTGCTACAAGGGCCCATCGCAAGTACCATTCTTTCAGCACCATTGTAACTTTGAATGGTCACCGAACGAATGGTCATAACCCAAGGACTATCTAATTCCATATCATACCTACCGTTTCTCCTTCTGTCTTGGACTCTTGCTCCTGCAAGGACTTCTGAAGGTCTTCAATCTGCTGCTGTAGCTCCCCAACATGTTCCTTGCTCAGTCTATTGTGAAGCATTGAACATAATAATACTTAATACATTTCAAGTCTTCAAGCATGAAATCATTGCTCTTGCAAGATTTATACACATACACCTAGGCTGGCAGAAGTGGACATCCTTGACCTCCTCTCTGTTGAGGTATTTATCCCTGCTAAATAGATTACAGGTAGTCCTTGGGTTACCATGGCAATTGAGACTGGGACTGTTGTCACTAAGCAATGCAATCTTAAAGTGTGACATCATGTGACCACATTGCTTAGTGACAATATTCCTGGCACTCCTGGTTGCCATCATAACCCCAAGAAGCATGGGTCATCATTAAGCAAGAAGCAGCAGGAGTCCTAGGTTAGGAGCGCAGGGGTGCCATGGGGGGGGGGGGTAAGGGGGGCCAGGGGAAGGCCGGCGCAGGCAGCACGTGAGTTGGGGGAGGCCAGGGGAGGGCTTGGGAGGCCCAGTGCAGGCCACACGTGAGCGCAGGAAGGCCAGAAGGTGGATGATGCGGTACAGCATGAGCACAGGAAGGCTGGGGGTGGTTAGTGCAGTGTGAATGCAGGAAGCCCAGGGGGTGGATGATGAGGTGCAGCACAAGTGCAGGAAAGCCAGGGGGACTTACCAGAGCAATTTGCAACCTTCCCTGCCAGCTTCCCCATTGACTTTGCTTGTGGGAAGGCAGCAGAGACAGTTGCAAATGGCAACCACGGGATGCTGCAACCATCGTAAGTTGAGCTAGTTGCCAAGCGCCCAAATCATGATCACGTTGCTGTTGGGGGCGCTGTGATGGCCAGAACTTTGAGGACCATAAGTATCACTTGTTCAGTACCGTTAAAATTTTGAATGGTTGCTGAACAAATGGTTGGTAAGTGAGGACTACCTGTATTCTGTTATGCAAGAACCAAGAAGAAAAATCAGATGGAAGTATCATGTGAATAGAGTTCCACTCAAAGAAACTTTCTATGCCTAAGTTTTAAGGATCTCTCTTTCCCAGTGAATCACAACCTACCTTATTTGACAGGGTCCCCTATTTAGCATTTATAAGCAACTCTAGTGGCAGACTTTTAGCCTAGTTGCCCCCAGTCTTTCATGTTGTGCTTTCTATAATTCTTCAGTATTTTTTCATCTTTTATTCTGTGTCTCTTACAAGTTTTTTGTATTTATAAAAAATAGCATTCAATAAATTTTATATGAAGGGAAATCACCTGTTTTCTGTCTCTAATTCATTTATCATCCGATTCTTTTGTTCCAGCTTCTCTTGAAGCTCTGCAATTTGTTCATTTTCCGATCCTTCTTGTTGCAAATGAAGCATCTTGTTTTCATGCTGAAGCCGAATAAACATTTCTCTGAGATTTAAAACAAAATTTGTAAGCAGACATGTTTTGTAAAATATTACATTTTTCCTCCAACATTATAAAACAGGGCTTACTGAATATTGCAAGCTGTATGATATTATACAGTAAAATCTGTTGGTAGTCCTAGTCATGTGTTAATTTCAATTTCATTTCAGCAGAAATATGCTAGAAAACCTCTTAAAAATAGCAAGTAGTCTTGTATATACATTATAGACTTCTTCCTCAAAAGCAGCCTCTAATCCCATTGGGTAAAGCAGCTAGGGAAGGGAATGGAATCAGGTTTTTTTCTTCCAGAAAATAAAAAATCCTCAGTATCAGTTTACTCCTTTGCTGATACATGTCTGATCCTCTGGGTGGGATCTATCAGGAAAGCCTTGATACTATAAATCTGTATAATGAAATCTATAAGAATCCACTCCCATTTGGAACCAGAGATACAGTTATGCTTATTGCTGTATTTCAGAGATTGATTATTTTCTTTTTAATTAAGAGTATAGATTTTTTTTAAATTGATTCAGTTTAGAAATCCCGCCCACCAATATTTAGGGTTTTACCTTTATAAGAATATGAAATTTCTATATTGTCTGATATTCTATATTACAATACATCACATTATATAAAAGATTCATACTTCATTTTACATGTATTCACTTCTCTTACCTATATTCCACAGGCAGAATTTCAGCAGCAAGATTTTCATGACTTTTCATAGTAGATGCACCTGAAAACATAAAGCAAAATCTTAAGGTTACTTTCCATAGTCTAAGCAAAAAAATTATCCTAAATATTTTTTTTTTAAAGGTACCTGTTTGGTTCAGATGATCCTGCTGCATTTGTGAACACCTGAGCTCTTCATTGGTCTCTTTCAATGCATCACGCTGAATTATCAATCTCTGAAAATAAAAACACATTTAATAGTGGTAGATGTATATCAAAATACTTGTGTCGATATTATGTGAGAGCTGTAATTGCTTCCTCCCCCTTGAAAATTATATCCTTGAGTAACTCTTAATAACAGAACACAATTGTTTTCTAAAATGGTACCTTGTTTATATAATTGATCCCACCTCCCAATGAAATCTAACAGGTCAATACACAGACAGGTTTATAAAGAACCTATTAATATTAATTTGTTTCAATATTCCTTTGGAATATATTTTAAGCCTGCTTCCTTTCAAGGGATGCTGCTTTTAAAAAATGTGGATGGTTTCAGAAGCAGAGTTTCTATGGGTGCAATTGGGGAAAAAAGTGAGAGAAAAAGAATAAATTGATGTTTGTAACTGATGGTAGCACCTTATATGACAGCCTAAAATAGATGCAGATAATCTATGAGACTCAACATTCTTAGTAGCCTTCTTCTTTTGCTTTCCTAAGAAACCTTCCTCCTAGGTATCTTAAGTACCCAGTACTTTGAAAACTATTTCTGCCACATTAATAGAAACCTCACCTCTTTCTCTTTAATTAATGTTTCATGCTTCTCTTCTAATCTTTTCAGTTCAAAAGCTAGTGTATCTGCTCTTTTGGATTCTTCAGAGAGTCTGTTATGAAGTTCCTGGACCTGGTTTAAAAATGAAACAATTTCTTTAAAGGTTTCAGAACCTGATAATTTAAAATAAATTATTCTGCAGCATTGGAACAGAAAGAGCGTTACAATCAGAATGTCATTATCTTCATGAGATCCTATTATCTTTTCAGCATTAGTTGGAAATCAATTTTTCCCTGATTTGAATAGAGTATATCTATTACTTAACTGTTCTTCTAAAGCATTTCATCATCATCTTAGCAAAAATTATCATTTAATGTTTAGAAATTCAGGTCAACAGATTCAATTAATAGAGTGTAGGTCTTGTAGGGGAATGTTCTACAAAGAATTATGGCTCTAGTTTTCATGACTTTACTCTTAATCCAATCCAATCTGAATGGTTGAAGGTAGGCATATGCTACTAGGAACACTAAACCAATCTCCCAATAAGGTTACCTTATTCATTTTAAATGAAATGAATGAGTGAAGTATACAAAGTTCTAGATTGCAGGGAAGTCCCAGCAGAGCTCATTTAGATATGCACATACTCTAATCCTACTACTCACTAAAAAGTATTCCATTTGATATAAACAATAAAAATGCATGGAAGGACAACATAAGGAGGAAATCCCCTTGCATTCCCAGCTTTTTTAGCACTAAAAGTGTACACTTTTATAGAATTGAAATAGTACAAAAAACCCACAGAAATGCAAACAAGATGAAAGGAAACATGTCTTACCTGCCTTTTGTAAGTTTCCAGCTGTGCACGGGCTGCATTTGCTTTCTTTAACTCTTCTTCTAGGCTAACTGTGTTATGCATATACATCATGTTTGTTTCCTGAAGTGATTTCACCTGTCTCCGAAAGTCATTCAGGTCTTCCAGTTTTTTGCGATACACCTCAACCATCGACTCCAGCTTATTTGTTTTATCAGCAACAGTCCTACAATAACAACATATTGTTTGTAGAATTTTTTTACTCAGAAACAAAATGATCACCAGACAACTTATTAAGTTCTTTCAAAAGCATGTCTGAACTGTTACTGGACAACAAAACACAAATACATACTTAAGAGAAAAGTAAGATCCTATTTATTAAACATTTTCTTCTAAGATTCAGATTGCAGGACTGATACACTAAACAGAAAATAGGACTTTTCAGTTCTACATCATTTCAACTGGAGCATCAACTGTAGCCATGAATGACTTCCTCCTTTTACTAGGCAATGGTCTTTGCCAACCCAGGGTAGACTTTCCTTTGAATTAAATGTCTTCTACTATGGTCAGTTTGAAGGAGGAAAGCCTACAATAGTCACGGGTTTTCCCCAAGGAGATCTCACACATTTCAAGAGGCCATCATTTATTATTATTAAATACAGAAAAGCTACGAAGCTAAAATGCTGCAATACCAAACTGGAATTTGGTCTTTGTTTAGTGGAGTTAAAGTATTCCTACAATACTTAATTCAAAACTAACATCTTAGCTAGAGGTCGAATGATCTTGGTGTACTGATTTTATAGCACATATGCTACCAGTTATAAGAAGACATGCAAATAGAAGTAGTTTGCAATTTCCATATGAAGACATTAAATAGTTACTCTAGAACAATTTTAAATATCACATGTAGGAATCTACAAGAGAATGAATTAGATCAAGAATATAAAATAGGAACTTTAAGTGTTGGAGGCAGAACCACTTATTTTACTTACTCTATTATTTAGGAAAAAACCCAAACAGCAGGTAAATAAACAAAAACAAAAGCAGCCAGAATTTAAGTTTGTTGCCAAATTTCAATGGCACAATTTTGGGGGTTCTGAATGTTGCAAAAAAGGAGGTACAGTCTTAATTCACTGCATTATGTCATAATTAAAGCTCTTCCATACTTCACCACTTGATGCCTTCCAAATGTATTCATCTGCCACCCTTAGAATTCACATCCACCCTTAGAATTCACATCCACTATGCCCCTAGTAACAGTGTATCCTGAGATTTACAGATGAGGATATCTGGAAGGCTTTGAGATTGGTAATACAGTGAATCTTCCATTCTGAGGACGTCCATACTACAAATGCACTAGACCCAATTTCTGCTGCAATTTATGCCACTTCTGTTAAGACATCATTGCACCAATGATGTGAATTCAAGCAAATGACAAAACCTGTGCCATTTGGGCATTGACATCATCGTACAAATGTCATAAACTGCTGTGCTTATGTACTATAGCATTTGTGAATAATAAGACACCCCATCCTCTCAATTAGATTGTTAAAAACAGGGTTTCCTGTAAAGGGAAAAAATATATAATATATTAGGTGATGTGAGGGAAGGGCAGCAGTTGGGGTAGTTTGGTGCATTCTTCAGAAACCCTAAGATGATAGTATAATAGCATATTGAAGAGATATTAACATAATGGAAACTGGATTCATTCTCTATACCTAAGAACATCAATTTCATCCTTCAGAGCCCGGGACTCTTCTGCCAGAGACGTCAGTTCATCATTTCGATGTTGCAGCTCAATCAGTTGTTTCTCAAGCTCTTCACAATGAACACGATAATCATCTTTTGTAGTTTCAAGTCTTTGCAGAAATGATACAATTATTGGAAAGGGTTTACTATCGATGTCCTTAGTATGAAACATTTGCACTAATTTATAGTACCATTCATAAAAATATATGGAAACATTTTAGCATAGAAATTTGGGTAATCTCTCATATTAGAGGCAAATGAAGTATACAGAAGGATCATTCAATCTTAAAATTGCAACTTTAAACTATTATTTTATAGTTAATCAGTTTCTACTTCATATTATTACTAACAAAGAGAAAGGCACTAAACAGTATTTCTGCGTTATTAAAAATCAGAATTCCAGAGCACTGAGTTACATTACAACCTTTATAAAAAATAAAGCAAAAACAAAATTGGCACCATGATACAAATTTAGTACATGTGCCTTTTCAGCCGCAGCCCCTACGCAGTGGAACATGCTCCACCTGAGATCCGGCAGGCTCCCACCCTTCTAGCTTTCCGAAAGGCCTTAAAAAGCTGACTTTTCCCCCAGTCATTGGGACAGGGTGAGGTTGGAGCCCAATGTTTGTGTTGTTTTAAAAAATGTATGAGGATTGTCATTTTAGGGCACCCAGAGTTGTGGGGGGATGTTAGTTTTTATTGTTTGTATGTTCTTATCACTGCTTCTGTGAACTGCCCAGAGTTATGGCACATAAAATAGGTGATCATGTAAGTTTCATAAATAAATAAATAAATCTGAAGAATATACAGTATGTTTATCATAACATATACAAAATTATATACATAATGCCATTAAGACAGAATAAAGCCAACAAAGAATCAAAACAAAAGATTACAATAATTAAAAGCAGCATTCACGTATTATACTACAGTAGAAACAAAAATAAAAAAAACTGACTATAACGTCTGATCTCCTGTTCAATGAGGTCTGGTAGAGGTAAAGGAGAAAATAATGAATAAAATAATCTGGCCTAACAAAAATGGCTTCAGAAAGGCTTCAATGCTTAGTCTAATATTTGAGAATAAAATACAAATAGCTTACTAAGGGGCTGAAATTGCAAACTCAGGGCCTATGTACCAGAGAAGAGGAAGCTGACCCCTTGTTGATCGCTGACGGTTACTCAAACTTGCTGACTAAATAAATCAAAAGCTAAAAATGCTAGGTTGCTACAGATATGGGTTTGAGCGGGCTATGTCACTAGAGGTCATACTGTCCTTCTTTTCTGTAGATAAGTCCAATATATAAGCTTTGTCTCACCACTCTCTCAGCAGGCAGAATCTTGCACTCCATCCCTGCGCAGATCAATAAATTCAGTTCAAGCAGATCGTGTGGTCTCTGCTTGTTAAGTGGGTCATGGAGAGATGGTGTGAGCTAAAAGGATGCCCAAATAAATGGGCCAGTATGAACAATCCCACTGTTTTAGACATGTTCATATCTCTATTCCAACACCTGGGGTGGACTACAATAGCTTTATAATCACCTCTCTGGGAACTGCACCTATACAATATGTGCAACCAGTAAATAAAATAATATGAATCTCTATGGGGTACAGACAACTGGGCAGGGCCTCTTCAGGAAATATGCATAAGTAGGCAGGTCAATATAAGAGAAGGCATATCATGAGAATACTGGCCTTTAACAGCTCCAGGCCTAATATACCATAACTAGCACCGCAAAAACAATAAAAACCTCAGAAATACATAACATAGTCAGAATAAAAAAATGGAGTTATACAATACTGCTGGTTTATAATAGCCAGCCTGTAGCATTCTGCATCAAGTGTTACTTCAGAAATGTTTTCTATTTTGTTTCAGTAAACAACTCAAGATGTTACAGAGATAATGACTGGATTAGATTAATTCATACCTGAAATTTTCTTCTTGTAGCTGTTCTATTTGTAACTGTGCATGAAAATACTTTTTTGTAACTGCTGTATTTGTATCATCAAATGAACCATCTAATTGATCCAATCGGTCATTCATTATCTCATTTTCAGACATTAAACTGCATTTTTCCTCTTGAAGGGCAGCCACCTAAAGATGCAGAATCCGCTTCAGGGTTAAACTCATCAAGATAGTTAACAGTGTGTAATTATTCAAATGTTGGCACAGGTGATTTTATCTCAGAAAAAGAAGTGACTAACCCCCAGTCAAATGATCTGCTTCATAAATTAAATGTAGAATTTGTGTGTGGGGGGTGTGTGTGAGTATGCATACATTTATTTATTTATTTATTTATTTATTTATTTATTTATTTAATTTGTCCCTGCCCATCTCCCCACAATGGGGGGCTCTGGGCGGCTTACAACACACTAAAAAACATAAATACCATTAAAAGTTATAAAACCAAACATTAGAAAAATAAACAACAATACATGCACACAGATTAACAGCTAAGCACAAAAATGAATGCATTAATGTATAGTGTGTGTGAGTATGCATACATTTATTTATTTATTTATTTAATTTGTCCCTGCCCATCTCCCCACAATGGGGGGCTCTGGGCGGCTTACAACACACTAAAAAACATAAATACCATTAAAAGTTATAAAACCAAACATTAGAAAAATAAACAACAATACATGCACACAGATTAACAGCTAAGCACAAAAATGAATGCATTAATGTATAGTATAAAATTAAATAAAATCATGTCCAATACTTGTTATTTCAGTATACATATTTCCACCTACACCTCCATCTATTTGTCTCAGTTTCTTGCTCTTCTCTTTGGGAATCCACATACAGAACCATCGACTGCACATTTGTCCTCAATTTCCAGCTCTTCCATTCTATATCAGCAACATCTTAGGACTTATATAATCAAGGTTACCAGCCACAGTAACAAAGGAGAACCAACATGGAAAAGTGTTCCTGCCTATTATATGCAGTGGCAAATAAGGGAAGAACGTCAACGTAGTCTTAAATTAATTAAGAACTGAGCTAAGTGGACTCTGGAATGATCCAGCAAGACACATTTTTCTTCACCTAACATAAGAACACAAGAATTGCCTTGCTGAATCAGATCAAAATCCACTTAGATAAAATTTCCACATTACTGTAGAAACAGAAAAAGGATTAAAAAGGGAAGCATCATTAGCAAGTAGAAAAATACTGGTCAGTTTATAAACTGAAGACACAAAAGCACCACAGAACTGGGTAATAATAACACTTAGTAGTGAATAGTTGGGTAAAAAGCAATTCCAAGAGCCAAATACTAGTAGCATTAAGTATAATTTAGACAGCATCATATATGTATTGGTGGATAAAAAGATACATGCATTTTGCAAATATTTCTGAAAATATCACAAGCTAGAAAGTAGGAGCATAACAGTAAGTATATTAACAATCAAAGAAGGATCCTCATATTAACAAAACAGCCCCTTAAGTATCTTTCTAGTGAAAGCCACTGTGTTAATTGTAATATATCAAAACATCACACCATATCAGATGTTAGTTCACTGATACATAAAATGCAATTTGCTCTTTGGGTTATGTCTTCCTGAAATAAAAATAAACCTACCTTTCTTAAATTCTTCTAAAATATCATGGGACACTGAGACCTTATAAGTGAATTTATTAACAATTAGATTAAGCAAGAAGTATATTTTGACTTTCAAATAAACACTCATATTCAGTATAGCACAGTGGCATTAAATTATTGCATTATATTTATCAAATGATCTTTCAGATTTCCTAAGCTGTAAAAATTTAACTGCAGTCAAATATAGATATCAATGCAGATTCAGGATCATTATACTAATTTATATTAATAACCAGTGTCAGGGACAAGTATCTATAGCTTACAACAGATTTATATATTAAACATTTTTAAAGGGTTTACTTCAAATACTCCAAACATTGTATCATAAACCCATAAACGAAAAAAGCTACAAAATATAATTTCTAAAATCTGCAATAAAGCACATCCAAAACAACAGTGAAAGGCACATTTGGGCATGCCTGGTTATTAGATATCATCACTTTCTAAATCAACAGAATGGAGCAGAGGGTTCTGTAACTGTAGAGTCATATCTGAAAAAGCACTACTACCTACCAATTATCCAAATATCTGACCCATGTACCATTCTAGAAAAGCACGGGTTTGAGCATCTTTGCCCCTTACCAAGTAGAGGTCAAAACATGTAGATTATTGATAATATTATGCCCAATAAAACTGCAATTGTACTAAAGGTGATTACAAAAATTGATAGAGGTTTCATCTAATAACAAATAGGGACACATCTATGAGTGACTGGATTGTGTGAGAAGGCTCTCAAAAGCTGGCCAACCACTGACAAATTACTGATATATAGAATTAAGATAAGAATATTTCTAAATAGTTCTAATTATGTATTAGAAGTTACTGTCACAGAAAAAGGCCTTAAGAACTAACAATGTCATAACATGGGGAATAGCACAACTAATAAACTATAGAAAAACAAAACATTACAGCATTTAATCACGGCACAGTAGAAAATGCTTTTGAAGGAAATCTGATTGTAGCCACTTAAGGTAAATATTAATCAATTAAATTTTCTTCACCAAATGTACTTGGGAAAATGTGGTTACCTGCAGATCTAGTTCTTGACATCTTTGTTTCAGTTCTTCTTTTTCTGCTAGTACTTCATTAAGTTCTTCCAGTGCTCTTTTCAGCTTTAAAAATGTTGAGATGATCATTTTCAGACATTTAGCAAAACAGATTTCTTGACCTTATATCCAGTAGTCCCCACTAGTGTGAAAAGTACTAACAGGTATTTAGGAAAAACAAAGAATTATGGGTAAATAGAAGGCAAGTTGGTAATGACCATACCTTCCAAGAACAGTAATCAAACCTGTCTCTGTCATATACCTTCCTGGTTCTGGGAGCCCCTTTCTTATTATCTTCTTGTTCTTTAAAATTAACCAAAATATTATTATCTCTGCAGAATCTACTTCGCTTGTTGCCACCACTAAACCCTGTTCTGGTTTTAAAATGTGTTTCTTTTTCTCTCTTATTTCTTTATGTCTCTAGGGGAATGTGACTAGGTAGAACAGGAAACATATAGGACAGCACACTTGGTTAGCAGTTAAACAAAGTAAAATAATGTTTATATAAACATGTAAATGGTTCATAAAATACATAAATCACTAGTTTCTATAATGTATCTATATTCACTCAAATACTTGTCTACAGGGGCACTAAACATATTTTTAAACCTGTCTCCCTGCCAGGTGAAGGTTTAGGACTCCCAGCCTCTTTCAGACCTACCTTCCACCCCTACTGCCAAGTCCCTCTCTCCTCGTTCCCCCTCCCTCTGAAATATAAACTGGGACGAGGTACTGCCATGCTTTGACTGGCAGTCACCACAGCCTCCTATGAAGATGTTAACTTAAAATCTACCTATTCCCTTAATAAATGCAATTGCTCTCTCTTTCTCTTTCTCTTTCTCTCTCTGCTCAGCCATCAAACATAATGGACTGTGACAAATCTGAAAAGAGCTAGGTGATTTTAATTACAGAACAGAATATTTCTTCCAGTAATCATGTGTCCTATGAGGCTCTGTACCAATCCAGAAATGACTGAGTACATACAATGATAAATTCATTAACTAGAAATTCATCAAAAATTACAGTAAAAAAATACTAAAAGCTGAAAAGATTGCGTATCAGTTACCTGTTGCTCCAAATCACCAGATAAATCACTTGCAACAAAGCCCACAATCTCTTTGCTCATTAACTGTAACAATAAAAAATTATGGCAAAATACGTAATTATCTATGGTCTAAAAGAGACTAGTAAGAGATAGCATTAAAGAGACTAGCTGATGTGTATTATTTTCCTTAAAATATATGAAATAGTCCATGTTCAATACACACTTCACATTCTTTTGTCACTTATGCCTTTCCATTGCCAAATTGATTAATTAACATTACATAACTTAAATTAACCACATGAAATGTATTTTTATACACACACAGAGTATATGTGTCTGTATGTGTGTGTGTGTGTGTGTGTGTGTGTGTGAAAGATAACTAGAAATATTTGCATAAGTAATATTAATTGCCTTGTCCCTACTGCAATGCTAGATAATTCCAGCCTATTTTTGGAAAAAGGAATCAATCCCAATTTTTCTGTTAACTCTCTTTTCTTACCTCTTGAATAGCGGCCATGACAACGTGCTGAACAGACTCCTCTAGTGTCATTATAACTTGTATATGTTCTACAAAGCAAAAGTTGTTTTTAAATTATATATCCCACACAACATGGAAGGGTCCAGGATACTTTACACATAAATGGAGAGCCTTGTCTGCAGTTCATTTTTGCAATCCTTCCTGTAGCTGAATGCTTACCTATCCTACTTTCTGCAGTTCCAATGATGAAAGGAGTACTATGACAGCTTAAAAATCTTAAGCAACATACTTTGTATTGCAGCCAACAGTATCCATCTGCTGATGGGACAGTAACTGCCAATTGGATATAGTCCAGCTCCCTGATTGGAGAGGAGGCGCATAAACCAGAGGTGCACTGCAGCTCACACAAGTTACACTAAACCATACACTGGTATGACTTGTCAACACAGCCAATGTTAGCTGTGCGATTCTAAACATGCTTAGTTAATTTTCAAAAGGAATTCACTTTCCAAAAATACATGTTGGATTGCAGTGGACAAGTCTGGACAACATGGCTATAACCACAAATGTGCAGGGAAGTCCTCTTTCCAGGTACTTCAACTATAAACCACCGATCACTTGAATGAAGTACTAATACTTCTCTTAGGGTTTTGTTTTGTTTTCCTTGTCTGGCTTGTTCTTGCTTGGGCGGCAATTAGGTGACAATGCATCTAAAAACATTAACCAGAATTTGTACATTAAAAGCTTATTTTGGTCCACGTATTTCAAAAACATGCTTGAAAAGTGAAGGTAAGTAGATAAGTAAATATTACTAATTTTTACTTCACTGCACACAGAAATGAAGGCGTTAATACTTCAGTTTCACTGATACACAAATCTGACAAATTGAGCTGTTCATTCAGAGGAGAACATTTACCTTGTTTCTTTTCACAGTTGACTGCACAGCCTAAAATCAGCTGCAATAAACGGCCAAGTTCTACCGGATTAGAATGTTCAGAGATTTGGTTTAAATCAGGAAGAAGATCTTCTGAAATTTGCTGAGTCAAAAACTGTAGAATTAAAAAGAAAGGAAACCCAGAGTTATAATTTCATAATGAAATGTGGGGGTTTTGTTGTTGTTGTTGCTGTTATCTATATACTACTAAAATTCTCATGTCTGATTGTAACCTTCAATTGGGCGAAACTGTGTCATAGGGCAACAATTTTTGAAGCAAGGTACCTCAAATGGGCTAACTTACAGAATGGGTCCAAAATCCAGGAGCCATTACTCCCATGGGATTGAAATTGGAGATAGTTGTTGCTGCTTCAGTGCTGTCACCATGCTGCCACAGTCAACTGCGATCACATGACCCTCCTTTCCAGTGCTCCCTGACAGCTTCCCACAAGTCAATAAGGAAGCTGGCAGGAAGTCTAAACTCGATTGCGGGAGGGTGCATGGGAGGGAGGGAGGGAGGGAGGGAGGGAGGAAGGAAGATTTCCAACACTCCCTGCCAGCTTCTCACAAGGAAAGTCAACAGTGAAGCTGGCAGGAAGTCAGAAGTTGTTCCCATTCTCACTGCTTTTTTGCCCGCCCACAATCATTCTGTTTCTCTGTTTAAGTAAGAAAATGTCTCTGAAATGATGACCCAATGGGTCATGGGTTGTCTAATTAGATTTATATTCCAGCTTTCCTCCAGAAGCTCACATCACATGCAGTTTTTCTCCACAACAACTATCCTGTCAGATAGATTGGTCCAGGAGAGTATGACTTGCTCAAAGTCACCCAATGAACTTGAATATCTGAAACAGACTCCCTGGTCCTATTCCAGCATCTTACCCACTACAGTACACAGCCCTGAAGACACAAATTGAGTTAGAATACTTTGGAAGAAGAGTAAAGTTAGTCTTAGGTTTTTTATAGCAGAGGGCATTTCTTCATTCATACCTCACATGAATGTTACAATATTTACTGAAATGTATTAGTAATCAGTACTGCAACTAAACTTTTTAAAAAAATGAATACTGATCATTACAGCATACAACCTAAAGTGAGAGCAGGTAGGAAAACAGAAATACTTTCTAAAAAATCTTTTCCCTTCCAAATAAATACATTTGTTTATAAAGTCCTCACAGAATAAAATGTTAGTAATAGAACACAAAAGTTAAGCTCATCCAAATAGGTTTTACATGTATTCTAGACATGTAATTAATAGACATTCTACAAGCTGAGACTTATAACTGAGATTATAGCAAAGATATTGCATATTTTACTGATTGTTGTGGTTTTTTCATACCTCATGATAATAATCCATAATTCCTTGAAGAACCTTCTTCAAATTGCTAGCCTAAAATATTTAAAATAACAACTGAGTGAGAATACACTGTCTATCTATTTTCATATATTTGAAAGTTATAATTAACATTCTGAAATGCAGCCTTTATTCAACAAATTTAACTCCTACAAATATAATCAGCTTAGTTGCACACTGCAGTATACCACTTAAAATATCATCATTCCAACAAAATCAGTCTCTGCTGAAAGAAAAACTTAGGTTTATAGATGGATCAATCCAAGCAGAGGGGATAGAATAAAGACCAAAATGTAACACAATGCTTTCATAGAGCAAGCAGATGCCCAGCTGTAAACTTTTTTGTTTGCTTTAGAATGGAAGACCTCATCTAATTTATTAGGAAAAATATGAAATTGCTTTGTATTTTGTTCAAACTTTCAAACTAGATAATTCTTTCTCTCATTTATGCAGTAATTTTTCCATCTCTTTATTCCTCTCTTAAGCTTGCCTTTCAGGAGACATCTGGGAAGCAAAACTGTATTGGAAAAATAATGTTAAGAAAGGCTATCCTATGACACCCTTCAAATAGGATATCTGCCCAATGTCAGTTAGGAGTTGGCCCTCTGGACGGGGTGAATTAATTGACATACAATACTCAGGCTTTCTCACTACAAAGAAACTTCTGCTACTGTTTAGTAAAAGGACTTTATGTGCTGTTTATAATTGTTATTATCAGATGCTTCAACATATTTATAATAAAAATGTAAATTCATGTACTAAAATTTGTCCATAAAACAGAATTCAGGAAAAAAGTGAAGCAAAATAGCTATGCATGCACTTGCATGTGGAGAAAGCTAGAAGCAACTTCTGAAAGCAGCTGTGAGAGCCTCAAAAAGCCAAATAGTTGCTCTAATGATCAGAAAAGAGATGCTTATTATGTGTTCCTTTATATTGTGTTCCTTTCTAAAGCTTTGCATACCTCTAGATACTAGTATTGCTAATCCCCATCAGCAGAGCTCCTGCATCACTTTCCATGGTAATATAATCTAAGGCAATTTACGTTTCTTCTAAGTGTTTATTGTATGGTGCAAAAATAATCCAAAAGTAAAGGTAAAAATCTTAAGAATATAACTCTTAGTTAGATCGTGGACAAATCCATGCAGTTTTCTTGGCAACAGAATAGAAGTGATTTGCCACGGTCTTCTTCCAGACAGTCTAGCCTACACCGCTCTTATTCCTTGAGTCCTCCATGCAAGTACAAACAAACACTGACCCTGCTTAGTTTCCAAGCACAGATTACATCAATCCAGGTGCTGCTATCTGCTGAGGAAGTACTCCAAAAATAACATCTTAAAAAATGTATGCTTGAAATGATCTGAGTATCTCCTGTTCCTCCCCCCTTACTGAGGAGTAAGGGGGGAGATGCTAAATTATTGTAATGATCAAGTCCAGGGTTTTCAAATGCCACCTATCAACAGATGTCACTGTTATTACTTGAACCCATAGCCTCAAAATAATCAGGAAACCTTATCTGTAGGAAAAAAAAAAAAACATGCACAATCTGGAACTTTTATGATTACTGTTCATATAATCTCCAAACCAATCTGGGATCTTTCCCAAGGATATAAATAAGTCTTAAGTAGAAAGATACATGCAGCATATTTGGTCTAGGTAGCCTCTGAATCATAAGCAAGTAATCTCAAATAATCTAAACTAAGTTTATTTGTACTTTTAACTTTAGCATTATAACCTATGTAAATATATATTGATAAGATATTCTATTACCTTTATTCTCCAGCTGTCACCAACGTCTTCTTTAATACGGCTTAGCCAAGCTTTGTCAAACCAGGCAGGATCACTGAAATAAAATCAGTCTCAACTTATTAAATATTGGGGAAAAAAACCCTGAATTTTACCACTCAGGTTCAACCTTATTTTTGTTGCAATAATAAGTAAACAAAGAGGTCTTATGTGGCAAAGCATATTGGACTGTATCTAGCGACACAGCGCTCTGTGGTTTAAGGGATGCTTCTGAAAATGGAACAGTGAGAAAGCACATTCGGCTCTCTACTCTAAAAATTGCTCTGCACCCATGTTATAAAGTAAGAAAACAGAACAGCTATGAAGTAACCAGAACCCCTAAAGAGTACTAAAGAAGTATCTTGCCTTCCAACTTGCATTGTTAATTTAATTGCAAGTGGAATCTCCATATCTTTCTTCACAGCAGGAAAGATATGTTTCTGCTTGGGAGTCTAGCTAATCAGCCATGCCCTCCTCCAGGATACTATAAAACTTAGGGTCTCTAGGAAGCCAATTCACTTTTATCTCCCCCTTCCCCTCTATTTTTATTTTTCTTTCCCAACAGATATTAAATCTGTTCGTAAATTTAATGACTATGTTCAGCTTTTATTGGACAGGATTACAATTAGTCCTCAACGACCACAATAGTGACCAGAAAATTGGTCATTTAGCAGGGCGGTCATTAACCGAGTCACCATGTGACCAGACCTGATTTTACGACCATTTTTATGACAGCTGTTAAGCGAATCACTGCAGTTGTTACGCGAATCACACGGTCATTAAGCAAATCATACAGTTGCTAAGTGAATCCAGCTTCCCCAATGGATTTTTTTTGCTGGAATTCACTTACCGACCACGCGATTTGCTTAATCATGGTGATTCACCTAATGACCGTTGTAAAAAAAGGTCGCAAATCGCAATCACGTGACTGCAGGGGATGGTGCGACGGTTTGTGACAGTCGTAAGTGCAAGTACAGGTCGTAATGCACTTTTCCGAAGGCTGTCGTAACTTTGAACCATCATTAAATGAAAGGTCATTAAGTGAGGACTACCTGTATAGCCTTCAGGAGTTTTTGTGTATATTTTAAAATGCAGCTTTGTACTTCTGCAAATGTTCTGAGCACGCTCTTATCTTCTCCATCTTCCCGGTCTCCTACTGTGGCCCGATTTCTATAATTGTCACTGTCTCTATATTTGCTGTCACAAAGAGCAATGTGGTAATGTATGGTATTTTCAAGCTTAGTTTAATAATTCTTTTAAATAATAAACAGTCTCTCAGAAGTCACTTTTCATTCAACTGACTTCATTCTTTAAAACAAAGGAAGTATTACCGATTCAGTTCTCAAACTTTGCAACACACAAGTCCTTAAAATGGTTAAATTAATCTGTGCATCCCCCATGAATAAAACTAAATAAGTAATAATGCTGTGATTGGCAGAGGGCTCAGTTCTAGCTATCTCTCATGTTTTGCTCAAGGCTTAGCTCCCTGTTTGGCCTGCAGAAGCCCATTCCAGGCTTGCCCAGGCAAAGAGGGAATCAATTTAAATAGTCTTTCTGGGATGCCTGCACAAGCCTGATCAGCTTTAAAAATGTTGTGACCTCCCTCACAGTTGTTTGCAACCTCCAAGAAGTCACAACCCAGTTTGAGGACTTCTACTCTTAGTGAATAACATTACCTGAAAGACACGGTAATGACCCATTCAGAGCTCCTTATTGAAATCTGAATGTTTTTTTTAATGAATATAGCCTTTCAAACTAATTTTGTGAAGGTTTTTAAGACAGTACATATGAAACTAATGTAACAAATATATTAGTGATCAGTAAGATACATTGAATTGTATGTATTTAAAGGATTGTTATTTTATCTGCTCTTATTTTTACAAGGCCAAAATCCTATCATGTAGTTTACCCAGATTTATTTATTATTTATTTAGCCAGCTGGCTATATTACAACTCAGCTCTGCTAACTTTATGGGATTGCAAACACAGTAATTCTTTAAGAAAAAGTTATTCAGTTGAATCATTTGTTTCTGTCTGGATATCTGGTTATTTTCAAGTTATCTGCACTAGAACTAGCTTAATTCTTAGTGGTCCATTTTCATTTTTAACAGAATTCCAATGGTCCATCAGTATGTTTCAATTTAATAAATCAAATTATGGAATATATCTTATCAGTTAAAGGGTAGCTAATTTGCTAAATAAACTCTTACTATAAAATCTGACCATGAACTCTTAAGAGATCCTTAAGAGATAAGGAAACCTTAAGATTCCTAATCCAGCAGGGGTTTTATGTATCATATATTCAATTACAACATGAAATATATGAAAATTATATTTTGTATAACTTAAATTACAATGTAATTTAATTTTGATCAATAATTACTATTTTAAAAACAACATCCCCCAAACTAGAGAAAGTTACATAAGGAAAAAAATCAATACATGTTTTAAATATTTTCTAGATTGGGGGGGCCTTCAGACAGTCACTCCCTGGTCACCTTGTGGCTTGACTACTGCAATACTGCCTACATGGGGCTGCCCCTGAAGACCAGTTGGAAGCTTCAACTGGTCCAGAAAACAGCGGCATAAACAGTGGCAGGCATGCCTCAGTATCCCTATGTAACACCTCTGCTTCACAAGGTGCACTAGTTGCCAGTTTGCTTCTAGGTGCAATTCAAGGTGCTGTACGTTACCTATAAAGCTCTATCTGGCATATGGCATGGTTACTTGAGGAACTGCCTGTCTCCCACAGTATCCGTCTGGCTGATTCAATCTGGCAGCATTGGTACACTCTGGTTCCTTCAATTAAACAATGTCATCTATTGGGAAGAAGCATATCTTCTCTATAGCAGTGCCTGCCCTCTGGAATGAGGTGCCCCCCAAAGTCCAGATGGCCCTGACTTTGCTGTTGTTTAGAAGAGCTGAGAAGACCTGGCTCTTCACACAGGCCTTTGGTGAGGGACAGTGAGACCCCTTACTTCATTCTATCTGCTCTGTCATTCTTGTCATCTTTTATCTTTTTTTCTTCTTCTTTGTAATTCATTTTATTGTAATGTCTTTGTTTTGATCATCATGATGATCACCCAGAGTCATTGGGAGTCAGGTGGTGTACAAGTTCAATAATAAGTATATAATAAATAACTTACATTTCATGAAGAACGTGTGCCATGGCTACACCATTTGTTAAGTCCTGAACTTCTCTACAGGATTCAGCAATATTAAATGTCTGCAACTAGAGGAAACAGGTCACAATGTGATTAGGATAACAAACAAACAAAAAACTTTCACCCTTATATGTATAAAAATAGCCTGGTGTATGTGGGTGTGAAGCAGGCTAGCTGAGGGGTGGATTTGCAAATTATGTATGTAGAATAAATCTTTGCTTGAGCTAATCAATAATCTCAATCCATCTGAACACTACTCAGAGCAAATTTTTCATCTGTACAGATATATTCAAAGGGAGGGTATTGATGCTAATAACTTTTAGACTTTGACTAGCCTTATGAACAAGAATTCCTTAAAATTTTAATAGCTTCTTAGGCAGTCTTGAGACCATAGATTTTATAGATGTTAAATGTGTTTGATTTAACAGAGTGACAGATAAGGCATAAAGATCAGAAATGTCACATTATTCATGTAATTAAATATTGTGCTCCAAATCAGATAATACAGAATTTTGATTAAGCTGGAATGAAAGGCTATACATCTGCCAAGTGAAATTTTTTGTCAGAATTGAGTAATTTTTCTATTATTGAATATCTAGAAGTATTAGGTGGAATCCAATGTCCTACAACAGGATTTCATCCTTTCACTTCCCCTGCTGCCCTTCCCCTGTGTTTCTTGAGGATTGCTTGAGGAATCTGTAGATCCTAAGGAGTAGATTTTGCAGTTGCCTAAGGGACAACAGAGGGAATAACAATCCTCCCTCTTCTACTATGTCAAGAAAATTCGTTTCTGTTAATGGAAACACCTTTAGATTCTGGTCATACTTTTATTCTCCACCCCACTTTCTTAAAGAGAATCCTCTGTACTGCATTAATGACTAACACATTACCATCATGCCATGGGCAGTATCTGAATACTTAGGATGTACCCTGATTGTTCCAGTGCACAGCATCAGAAGGAACCTATTGACTACAATCTTGCATATGCTATAATATGCTTAGGTAGCAGTGCTTATTTCACCTTCACTGATCTCAAAAATATCTGAGTAGGGAACTGGTTAGTCCTTAATGGCAGAAAACCAGGAAATCCCAGGGCTGTAGGCAGATGAGAAGTCAAAACAACCTCCTGGATGCAGGCAATGGGAAACCACTTTCGCCAAGAAATAGTTGCTGTCAAGTCAACTTGAGCAAGTATTTATCTTATATGCTGATAGAATAAAAGTGTATTTACTCCTATGATGTAGTTTACTCAGATTTATTTATTTATTTAGTCAGCTGATTACATTACAACTCAGTTCTACTAAGTTTATGGGATTGCAAAATAGTAACTCTTTAAGAAAAGGTCATTCAGCTGAATCGTTCGTTTCTGTCTGGTTATCTGGTTATTTTCATGTTATCTGCACTAGAACTAGCTTAATTCTTAGTGGTCTGTTTTCAATTTTAATAGAATTCCAACAGTCCATCAATATGTTTCAATTTAATAAATCAAATGATGGAATATATATTATCAGATAAAGGGTAGCTAATTTGTTAAATGAACTCTTGCTATGAAATCTGACCATGAACTCTTAAGAGATCCTTAAGAGACAAGGAAACCTTAAGATTTCTAATCCAGCAGTGGTTGACACATTTCTGCTGGGTATTTTAATTTTCCCAGCATCCCTATATTCTTACAATCTCATCTGTTCTTAGTGAAAGATGCCCTTGGTCCTTATTCTAAGCCTACTTTCTGATTAAAACTACGTATTTAAAAACAGTATATCATATCAAGTTTAAATATAACAAAATACAGTATAAATGTGTGCTTTGGCAAAGAGATAAAAGTTGTAAACTCTGGAGGAAAATGGGTGCCAGTAACATGAAAAAATATTAAGAGTAAGTAATTACTGCTTCTTAGCAGTGGCATCTGCATTATAGAACTTAATCAGGCTGGGTCCCCATGTTATTAGTTTTTCGTAAAGTTTTTAAAAAAAGATTTGTTTTGGAGAACTTATGAAATATAAAATAACACCACTAGTTTGTTATTATTATGGTTAATTGATTTTATAACTTTTAATTTTATATTATGGGCATCTTATTATATTTTTATTGTAATGTTACTGTTTCAATGATTGCCACAAAATTGTTAACTACCTACACTTTGTGGACAGCAGCAGAAAATATAAACCTAATAAAATAAATAAATGTTTATAACTGCAGAAGAGGGGGCACTATTTTGCTGTAAATAGTATTAAGTTTTATAAAATTGAGATACCCCGCCCACAAAAGTAATTACAGTGGGGCAAAAAAGTATTTAGTCAGCCACCAATTGTGCAAGTTCTCCCACTTAAAAAGATGAGAGAGGCCTGTAATTTTTCTCAATACTTTGTTATATATCCTTTGTTGGCAATGACAGAGGTCAAACGTTTTCTGTAAGTCTTCACAAGGTTTTCACACACTGTTGCTGGTATTTTGGCCCATTCCTCCATGCAGATCTCCTCTAGAGCAGTGATGTTTTGGGGCTGTCGCTGGGCAACACAGACTTGTCTTGGCCATAATGGAGTTTGGAGTGTGACTGTTTGAGGTTGTGGACAGGTGTCTTTTATACTGATAACAAGGTCAAACAGGTGCCATTACTACAGGTAACGAGTGGAGGACAGAGGAGCCTCTTAAAGAAGTAGTTACAGGTCTGTGAGAGCCAGACATCTTGCTTGTTGTCTTGGCCATAATGGAGTTTGGAGTGTGACTGTTTGAGGTTGTGGACAGGTGTCTTTTATACTGATAACAAGGTCAAACAGGTGCCATTACTACAGGTAACGAGTGGAGGACAGAGGAGCCTCTTAAAGAAGTAGTTACAGGTCTGTGAGAGCCAGACATCTTGCTTGTTGTCTTGGCCATAATGGAGTTTGGAGTGTGACTGTTTGAGGTTGTGGACAGGTGTCTTTTATACTGATAACAAGGTCAAACAGGTGCCATTACTACAGGTAACGAGTGGAGGACAGAGGAGCCTCTTAAAGAAGTAGTTACAGGTCTGTGAGAGCCAGACATCTTGCTTGTTGTCTTGGCCATAATGGAGTTTGGAGTGTGACTGTTTGAGGTTGTGGACAGGTGTCTTTTATACTGATAACAAGGTCAAACAGGTGCCATTACTACAGGTAACGAGTGGAGGACAGAGGAGCCTCTTAAAGAAGTAGTTACAGGTCTGTGAGAGCCAGACATCTTGCTTGTTGAAAATTACAGGCCTCTCTCATCTTTTTAAGTGGGAGAACTTGCACAATTGGTGGCTGACTAAATACTTTTTTGCCCCACTGTATGTATATCTGAGGGGAACCTAAATATTACAAGCAAGTATTAAGATTTACAGAGATGGTGGAAAGACCAAATGTTATGAATGTGCACTTCCACCTGCTGCCAAAATATCTATCAGGATGAAGGAATGCAAAGTGACAAAAATATTAACAAAATCAGTTTTTCTACCCCCTCCCTCCACCCTTCCAGACCTCTAATTGGCCTGGTGCTTGTTTTCCTTTAGCCTACAGCCCAAAAACTCTCTGGTACAATACAGAGAAAGATTTTTTTTAAAAAAAAACCTAGTTGTGAACTATTTTGGATGATTTGGGAATGGCTAAAACAATGTTTTTCAAAGTCTGTGCCATGGAACATCAGCAGAAATGAACAGTGTTCTGTGTAAAAACTTCACTGATTGTCTAACTGCCTGGCAGCCAAGAATTTTAGGAGGTGATTGGCTGAGGGAGAACCTGGTTTTGTTTTTATTTATTTATTTTGTTTAACCTTGAAAGTATTTTTCTGCTTCATTAGGCTACAGGTTTTGAAGTACCAGTCATTTTTATTTATTACTCTACTGCAGAATAGGAAGTCCTAGATTCTCTTTATGGACTACAAAACCACCATCTGCACACCTGAGTGACTCATGCTTCCTTCTTTTAGAATACTGCCCTCCAACAAACACTGCCTATTCTTAAGTTCAAAGTCCATTTATAATTATAGTCAACGAAGTCAGTGGTAGTCCATGAACATGACAATTGGACTTAGTTTCCAACTGTCATCTAAAAACAAAAAATGAACAAAGCTCCGCTAAATGGTTTTTGGATTTAGATCAAAAAGATCTAAATGTGAGTGAAACATACAGTTCAAATGCTTCTTTTGTTTCATATATTTATATGCAAAAGGATTTTCATACTATGTTGTAAAAAAAAAGCAAGTAAAGAAGCCAGTTTGATGCTACCCCAGATATGAGGAAACAACATTCCAGCATTCTAATATTAAGCAGATAAAAAGCAAAACACTCATCCCATTAAAGGGGTTTTTGTTTGTTTTTTGTATAAATAAATGGACAGTCCACCCACAGCTCTTCTTTTGTAGAAGTGAAGTGGCTGTTGGGAGATAAAATACTTGCAATTTGAAGGTCATCCCTGTACCCTGAATCACCATTTCAACAGTTGGATTTTTAAAAAATACATGTATTTTTATTTTTAAAAATTCTAATCAAAATTTCAATATAAAAACCTTTTCCCTGAACTAGTAGATATGTATTTTGTCAACATATTAAAAACCCTAAAATGTTTCATGCTCAAGTAAATAACAGATTATTTTAGCCCAATGCTTTCCATATTGGTGAACTTTGTGAAAATGCTCAGAGTTGTTTGGTGTATGGCGGCCTAGAAATTTAATAAAAGCAATAATTTACTTTTTTCTCTCTATGTCAAACAATGACTTTGCTGCAGTCACCAGTTTTGTAGATTTGTAATTTGTATGATAGAAGTTAAAAACTCTTATATGGAATGATTTTAATCAGCAAAGCTGCAAACTAAAGTCACAGTTACTTATTTTTGATAGTATCCTGACTCTATGGCATGGTAATAAAAAATAAATAATTAAAATAGTAGCTTTTACTTACTAAGTTGTAAATTACTTTTTATCCCTAGCAATATGAGAACACTTCCATGAAAAAAAAGAGTATTACTACTCTGCCCCAAAGTTCACCTAAAATTACCCTTAACAGCTACAATTAGTGTCATCCCAGAATAGCCCCATCACTGATGTCTATCTTAAACTATCCACCTGCCAACTGTTTATAACATGCAGCATTTCTGAAACAAATAATAAACCAAACATAACTTCTTTCTAATCACATACAATCATTTACAATCAGTAAAAATACACCTTTAATCAGGATTCTAGTGAGCATATTGTAATTCAATTAAAACCTTTCTACCAAAATAAAAGAGTGAAAGGGCAATAATGGCATATTTACCCAAACACCACCAGTAAATTTATTTTTTTAAAAAGCCAGATATATTAGGCTGTTTGACCACAGTACTGAATAATAAATGAATCAGAACTCAATGGAATGCATGTGGAAATATTTAGGACTGAGTTACACAGATTGTTTATTATTTATTAGAATTAGATTATTTGAATAATATTTGTTTTAAATATCACAATATTGTAAATGAGATTTCTGTACTGCGCAAATACCATTTAATAAGGAAGATGGATAACAACTTGCTTGATTTCTCTGAACAGCACATTAAGGAGATGAGAGGATAAGGGGACATTAATTGCATATAAACCTGTCATGTCATGTTTATTTCTTTGCAGTACCTTTTCAAATTTCATTTTATTTTTTTAACCAGCAATTTTATAACTTGTAAGAGGAAAAAAACTACCAAATACCTTGCAATGAAAGTTAAAGAAGTTTCTAATTCCAGAGCAAGATAGAACCTGCTTCTGGAAACAGCAGACAGCCTCATCCTCTACATACATGCTCAGAAATGCCGGCCACAGTACTCAACATGCATATTTTCAGTGTCATTACTTTTAGATCCTGCACAGTAAAATTCAACTTAACCTAAACAGAATGCATGCATTCCTGTGGCATCAACCCAGATCCACAATTCACTTTTCTGCTGAATCAGACTGAAGCTGTATGTTATCCAGTCTATATCCCATTTCCCACAACAGCTAATGAAATGCTTATAAAGTCATTTTCAAAAACCAAACCAAATAAAAACTGAAAAGCCTACTCAAAGTTTTCCATCTGAAATATATTAAAAAGCTTTGACATCTTTAAAAGATAACATTTTCACACAAGCTAAACCTGGTTTTGACAGAAGTGAAAGGATAATGTGAAGCCTATATCAGCTATTATATCCATTAGATTTCTCCACCCCGTTAACAAGCACCTGTTTCTAAATGTGATGGGGGGCAGGATTCATCTTTAACATTAACTTCCATTTACAATATTTCCATGATTTCCTATCACTGCTTCCTAGAAAATCCGGTATGGAAAGAAAACAAGATTCACTCCATAATGACTTTTGAATGGCAGCAGGAGAAACCTGTATACGCACTCTGGCTCAGAGGTCCATTTAAGGTTCAGGGGCAAAAGCCCCCTCCCCAACCCCCCAACCAGGATACACTGGAGAGTCGCCAACAGGGTATCACACTGCGAAACATTTTGTTGAACTTTTTGAGACACACCAAAGGGAGTGATGAGGTTTATACAGACACGATGCATAACAACACGCATACGGTGCACCCAATGAATCCGTGCAATTTATGCAGAATAAAGATCATGGCAGAGTTAACATGCAGGTGTCAGAGGCGGTTGTGGGGAGCCAAACTACGGCTTGTTGGGCAGAATGGATAATGACCCCCTGAACCCAGAACGGGCACTGAGGATGTGCAAAGAGCAAGAGAAGCGAGGAGGGAGAAGAGGACCGCAGGGTCAATCCCCCAGCTCTCCATATTGGATTTCAGCTCCGCTCCAGGGCACGTCCCTTCACCAGGCGCCGTGGACAAGTGCGCCTCCTCCACCCGCCCCGACCTTGGGTCGTCTAGCGAAGGCCAGTCCGAAGAGCGCGCGGGACCGGCTCGAGGCGGCAAGGAGGGCGCGGCGCGGGACTGTGAGGCGGACGGGGGTGATGGGGCTCCTGCTCCAATTAGAGTAGGGGGCGGGGGCTGCCCCCCTTCCCGCCCCACCGCTCGCCACTTACCCAGAGGGTGAGGCTGTCGCACAGCAGCTGGTCGGCAGGTTTCCCTTCCATGACAGCGGCCTCCCCGCACTCGACGACGGTGGTGGCGGCAGCAGCAGCAGCAGCAGCAACAGCAGCGCCGCCGCCAGGCTCTCCTGCGCAACGCACAATGCACCAACCAGACCTACGCTCAGAACAATGCGCAGGTTACGTGTCAGCCGCGGCTGGTGTCACCTTAACATTAACCACCCCACCCCCCTCATTGGGCTTGTCCCTGAGGATTCGTGCGGGTGTTTGACGCGGGAGCCGACCAATTAGGAGCTACGAAAACCAGGCCGGCGAGGCTTATTGGGCTGATTCCAGCGTCCTTGGAGTCAATCCAGGAGGCGGCTCCGGGGGAGATTTGCAGCGCAGGCGGTACGAATGGGGAAGGAGGGGGGAGGGACACCACAGGGAATTGCTACGGCGCCCCCTGCAGGGTTGATGCGAAAGCGCTTGATCCTGCTGAGATCCAGATACGAGTGGACGAGATGAAGCTCTTCCGTGCTCCTCCCACGACGGTCCTATCAGGCTTAGTCGCCGCCTTGTGGGCTGTCCTGGCCATGCCTCCGCCGTTTCTTCTGCTGTCGTCCGGACGCTCCTCCTCGCTCGCACCACCTGATAGAAACCTGGCGGATTGCAAATCAAGCACTACCTAGGCTTATACCTGGAAACACAAGTGGGGGGACCAGCGGTGTTTGTGATCTCTTCCTCGCCGCTGAGATAAAGCGCTGTCCTTCAGCCTTTGAGCCAGCGGAGAAGCACCTGACAGGACTTCTGCCGGCAATCTCTGTTCTGGCAGAGTTAGGAGGCCAGCCGATGCTCCTGTCCATACCAGAGTCCCTTGTTTGAGATGGCGACGGCTATGCAAATTGAATTAAATAAAGAAATAAATGGTGGGCCAAGTTAAGGAAAGGGGTTGGTGGGTTCTCATGGCTTCATTTCACCTTCTATCAAGCATTACCTACTGGAGGAAAGCAACTCTAAATCACTCTCCGTAACGGGATGGGGCAAAGTTAGGCGGGTGGTTAAAACATCTGGTACAATGTATGTATGTATGTATGTATGTGCCTTTGAGTCCGTGTTGACTCCTGGCAACTGCCTGCACAAGTCCCTGCAGTTTTCTTGGCAAGGGTTTTTCAGAAGTATTTTGCCATTACCTGCTTCCTAGGGCTGAGAGAGAGTGGCTGGCCCAAGGTCCCCCAGCTGGCTTTGTGCCTCAGGCAGGACTAGAACTCATGGTCTCCTGGTTTCTAGCCTGGTGCCTTAACCACTACACCAAACTGGCTCATATATACATATGCGTGTGTGCCCCCCCCCA